GTAAAACAACATCAATTCTCTTTAAGAAGTTAATATTATTGAATGAACATATTCACGCCTGAATATCACCCATCAATAAAAAAAAATCTTTAAAGAATAGTAAAAAAAAAAAAACTCATATTTATTTGACAGATTTATTCATTTTCATAATTTATTCATTTGTTCAGGTCAAATAATTTTGTTTACATAATAAATTAACCATTTATCTATAATATACATATTTATCAATGAACAATCTCTCTTTCTCTCTCCCCCCCCTCTCTGTATCTATCTATCTATCTATCTATCTATATGTATACCTATGCATAAACAAAGAGTTAGGGTACATAGAGTACATTGAAGAATTCAGGTTCTGTTTACTTGTTCATGTTTATTATTCATTATCATTATCATTATTATTATTATTGTTTTAACTTAGTCTACTTGAAATTAAAATACAAATTATAATATTTTACATAGTTGAACTTTTAAAGAAGAATGTCTCTATTTTCTTCTTTTTCTACAGTATCATTTCTATATATATAAATGGAAAAATACATTTATGTAAATAATTCATAATGAAATTGTCCTCCCTCCAACCTCCGCTCCACCGAAAAAAAAAAATTAAAAAAATAAAAAATATCGGTACATCAAGGACATTTAATAATTTAGAATTGGGCAGATATTTTTATTATTAAATAGTTAACAAAAAAATAATAATAAAGAAAAAAAAAGAAACAATAACAAAACAAAAATTGACAAAATAAATGCTCATCGAATCATCTCCCTTTCGCGGGGTGGGGGGGAGGAGAGAGAAGGGGGAAAAGAAATAAATCTGATTATATAGAATGAATAGATTTGTTTCTATTTCTCTTTATCTTTATATTAGTTTTTTCTTAAATTGACAATAATCATATGATGATTGAAATGAATAATATAACGAATTAAACTATAAGTAAAAGAAAGAAATAATGATTTCAAATAAGGTAAAAATGATGGAAGTTAAAGAATAGAAATGTTACATTGATAAATAAGTTATATATAATGATAGACTATTGATATGATTAGAATTAAAACGAAGTTACATATCGTCATCATCATTTAGACTACTATATATTATAGGATTCAAGTAAATGTTCTCTAATTTCAATGGTTGAGATCATGATTCAGTTGAAGTTAGACCAGCATGGAAGACCAGGAAGCACTGGACGGCTGTTTCGTTCTATCATGGGACTCTTCAGCAGTGCACATCCATGATCCCGCCTCGCAAGATTCCAACCCAGGACCTATCAGTCTCGCGCGCGACCGTTTAACCAACTGGACCACTGAGCTAGTCAATAACCAGTGGTGTTAATTTCTAACTTCAACCAATCCACGAAATTGAGCAATATATCCACCATTGTCTTTAGTGAGTTACTATCTCACAACAGACCTGGTTGAACTTCACTGGTCACTGCTTTTTCTAATCTAACATTAAACAGTTTGTTTTTTCTTTTATTACGTGACATCGAATTGTAAATGTCTTGTATAACTAATTGTTTTTTAATACTCTTGGTATATGTTAATTGACTTGAAACACGACCTAAAGAAGTTAAGAATGAGTATCTGCAATCTCGAGTGAATCATTATTTACCGTGACAACGCTATGTCATAGTGAGAGCTATTACTGAGCTATTTTGATTATAATATCTTTGACTATATAATTGGTTGACGTTACTCCAAATATCAAAAGAAACATCAAATCTTACAACAATACAAGTAAACTTTGATAAAAACACCCTATGTTGCAATAAATATAGGTCCATGACTTCCGCTAAACCACATCTAACCACGAGGCACCAGAATATACTACACATATCATCCAGTAACTCTAGTCAGAGTAATGAGTAGAAATGATATGAAATATAGCTTGAAAAAGAGATACACCCAAACGTGACTCAGAGAAATCAAAGACGACAATTATTAGATATATGGCCATTTAAGGCCAGACATCACTAGATAGCTAACTTTCACCTGATGACGACGGTATAAGTAGAGCATATGATCACAAAATTCCAAGAGAATTTCCAAAGTTATTACCATTTAGCCTTTCTTATTTTGTTTAGAATTAAAGAATTTTATCAAAAAGGAAAGTTCAAATTTGTTTTAAATAGTATTAAAATTTATTTTATACAATAATTATTAAACACGAATGTATCATTGAAACAACTTCAACCAATTATTAGATAGTGCTTGTGACGATTGTTGAATTTCATAGTTAATAACACGTACTGACCTCAGTTAAACAACTATTGAAAACCTGAAAGTACTAGACAACAGTTTTGATCTAAGTGGGACTCCTCAGCAATGCACATCCAAGACCCTGCTCACGGGTTTCGAACCCAAGGCTTTAGGTTACGCACCGATCACTGACCTCTGTACCAGTGATCTGGGATCAAGGATTGGTTGAAGTTAGACAGTAACACTATTAGATCCCGGTTTAGTGGTCTAGAGGTCAAATGTTTGTTCAGAACAGAAGGTTGTGCGTTCGAGTCCTACGTGCGGGATCGTGGATACACACTGTTGAGGAGTCCGATACTAGAACGGAACGGCGGTTTAGTGCTTTCAGGTTTTTAATAGTGGTTAAACACTGATCGGTTCGTAATCTTAAATAAAACTCAATAATCTCTACAACCCAATACTGATAAAAAATAATTTGATTTGTATTTCTTTATGTATAAACTGTGATTAACAGTGTTTATTATTTTCATTAGACTAACGTCCAAGGATTGAATTCATGTTTCTTTTCTTAAGTTATCTATTTACTGATGATAATGAATAATGATATCAATCATGTATCTCATGGGAATAGAATTCAATGTTACTGTATCTCAGTAAATTACATTATAATTCAAAGTTACTAAAAGGAAAACAAACGAATTTCTAAACACCTTAAATTTATTAGGTTAAAGATTGGAATTTTATTTACATTAAGTAGCGGATGTTTATCAATACTTAAGATGATGATATTGTAATTATTATTAAATACTTATCAGGGATAGATTCATGTACTTGGCTTAAAGTTATATTTCAAGTATGAGGGTTATTGATACTAATCATTTTCTCGAACAAAAATAAGATAAGACGGTGTTCAAACCTGTGACTTAATGACTGGAAGTCGAACGGGTTAATCACTGAACTACCGCCTTACAAGTGATGTCAACTGGTAAACTATTGAAAATCAGAAAACACTGGAAAGTTGTTTAACTTCTTTCAGTAATTCACACTGATGATCTGACAAATAATAGAATACATTATATATATTCCTTGTAGAGTTAGAATTACTATGAAAATCCTGTTATATTCTTTCGAACCTTAGCCTCTAGGTGCCAAATTGGTCCATGGATGACAAAGTATAAGCACTATTTAAATTTTTTATTCCTTTTTGGAAACATCTTACAAAACATTATGAGTTATACAAAAATATTCTATCGATTTCTAAGGCTATCTAAATGCTTATTAGACTATTTTCTTAGTTTAGATGATTTCTTTCCCATATAGACTATTGTTAGCTCTATTTTTACGACGCTATGCTATCGTTAAACTGTCAATGTGAATTTGTTGTTGAACCAATTTATTCACGTTTGATTCATTTGATAATCAGTGGTATGTTGCACACGAAACAACAAATCGAAATTTGATGGTCTGTTTATTAGTTTATTATATTGGATAGATCGTTTCTAGGTTACCCTACTTTGTTTCTTTAATGGTTCTTAGCCATATCCATACCTTTAAAAGTTTTTACAAAACCTTTGTATGATTTATTTATAAAAAATTCTACTTATGCATCAGTTTTAGTATCCATAAGCTTAAACACAAGTAAAACAAGGCCTTTATATAAGATGTGGAATAAGCTTGAGTTCAATCAATTACTTAGAATCTACTAAATCACAGTAATAATAGTTTGAGTTTGTCGTCATTACCCTTTTGATTGACTTTTGTGATCAAGTTTCTTTGGAAACTATAAGGTGTTTTAATTAATTTGACGTGTCTTGATTTCAGTTGAGATCTTGCTGGAAACCAGAAAGCACTAAACAAATATTTCACCATAGTATGACACTCCTTAAGGATGTGGATCCACATCTTCTCTCTAATAATCAAACTCTGGTCATTCTTGACTTGTGGCAAGTGCCTAACACTTTAATATCAAAACATTAAGTTTGATTTATGAGCTTATTTGAATCTCATACTAAGATAAGCTGTCCAGTCTTCTTTGGTTTTCAGTTTGTTATCCTTACGATGACAATTCATAACGGAAACTATTTTCATAAAACAATAAGTTATTGTAATCAATGAGTACATTGTACTGCAAAATCTTATCTTCGACTTTTCTAATTCAACCATTTAAATTGTAACGGATCACATATTCCTATGTTCTATAGTAATACTCGTTTATTATTGCCTTTATTTAATATTATATTTTTGGTACAATATAGAATTCTCATCACAAAGTATTTCAAAAAAGTATTCCTTATTTCTTAATCGAGTCTTGTGATAAATAATGAGTGATTGCCAGTTAGAAGTTAACAGTCCAGTCAATCGACATCTGATTCATGTATATATTCTTTTTTATACATATTGCCAGGAACCACAGTGTCTCTGATTGAGCTCTTTTTTAACTTGTACAACGAAATGTCGTTAACTTTTCACAAACGTACCTGATGAATAGGTTATGCAATCGATAGACATAATGATGTGTTAAAACAAACAATAAAACAGATAACTTATTCAAATATCCAAATGGTAGGAACAGGTAGCCAAGATATTCAAACAGGCTGCCTTCAATAACATAATACTAGATGTTCATTTATATATTTCTTTATAAAAACAAGCTAATTCAACCATAAACATTTTGTTTTAAGGATTTATAATAAGTGGGGAAAAATTTTTCAGTATTCAATTGTAATGATTGGTTAACCAATCAAAATCAACTACATGGAGTATATATACACATACATACATACGTGTTTATAAGATAATAATTAAAAAATACGTTTCAGTATTGTCACAATATTCAAAGATTTCTGAAGTATTCATCGTAGAAATATAGTCGTTTTTCTAAAGAAAAGTACAAGTAATTCACCATTTACCAGTAAGTTATATTAATAACATTGAATTAATACATTTTTATCAGAAGGGGATTTTGTAGATGTTATAGTAATTTCATTAGGTAATATCATGAGTCAGTGGTCTAGAGGTTAAGCGTTTGCTCATGAGACCGATAAGTCATGGGTTCAAATCCCTCGAGGCGGGATCGTGAATGTGCACTAATGAGGAATCTCAAAATAGGACGAAACAGCCGTCCAGTGTTTCCAGATTTTTCATGGTGATGGTCTAGCTTCAAATGACTCATGATTTCAAGTAATGAAACAACACATTTTTGTTTAATAAGTTTTATAAAAAAAGATTATGATACTTAACTTTATACTGTAAAATTATTCTTTTTAAGGTTCCATTTTTTAATGTTTATGACAAACTTATACCCATTAGAAGATTTCTCTGTGGTAAATATGAACGAAAAATCTTAAATAACCAATCAAGATGTATTTTTTATTCTGTCTTATTCTATTGTATATAACCATCTAAATATCTACTTAAACATCGTGAAGTATAAATCCCAATGATTAGACTATGTTGATAATTGTGAGATTCTTAACTGAAATTACTTTTGATAGATTAATAGTAATACATTAGTTTTTGGTTGAGATCATGAATTAATTGATGTTAGACCACCGTTGGAAACCTGGAAGCACTGGACGGTTTCCAACGGTGGTCTAACATCAATTAATTCATGATCTCAACCAAAAACTTAACAATCTCCACAACCCCCATACTGATAATACATTAGTTTCCCTGAAAAACACTAAAGTATTCTTGCTTAAGAAATAGTTCAGTTTGTAATTTTGGTTAAACACGAAGTTCAATGAAGGGATCTCTTTTCAACGAATTTTGTTAAAGTACTAATTCCATGAGGAAATATGAACAAGGAATAACCAAGATGACGAAATAGAAAGATCATAATACTACATTACGTAATACAAATAATAACAATAGATTTAGTGAATATAATATAATGATTAAAATGAATAGAAGTAGTTTTGACAGCAAATCTAGTTGTTCCATCCCAGAGAAAAACCTCTTTATAAGTCTGGAATTTAAACGGGATTGAACATCTGACGTAATCAAAAATTGTCTAACGACAGCGATTAAAAGAACACTTAATGCGGCAAAATTGTGAATAACCTTCACTAGTAGGAACTTATTTTCTGTATCCATAAAAGATAAGCTTCCGCATCTGGTTGCCTCCATGTTCATCTACCAGTCCACCTGCTCTTGTAGAGCAAGGTACATTGGCCATAGCCAGCGCTCGCTTTCAACTCGGATACGAGAACATGTTCCAATTTAGTTCTACAAAGACGAAAGTTAAGCAGTTAGAAATTCTATACTTGAACAGCTAATCAAATGTAATCATTCTACGGATCCACGGGTTGATTTTAAGGTTGTTTATATGATTCGTTTAAATCTACCTAGATTTCTTGGCAGCCAACTCTTAAAAAAAGCTGAACTTCTTATCATCCGTAAGCTCAAACCAGAACTATGCGTACAAAAGAAGTACGTCTTATCGTTATCGTTACCTTGGCCTTAACTATTATCATTATTATTATTGCATTCCCCTTTACTTATGTCTTATATTCTCATTATTTTATTCATGAATGCTTATCACATCACCTTATTTATTTTTACATCTCTATGACCTTTAATGACCTTTAATTATTATAACACAAAACATTTTAGTCATATCATTACATTCACTAGATCTATTGTTATTATTCTTATTATGTAATCCAGTATTATAATCTTTCTATTACGTCATCTTGGTTATTCTTTGTTCATATTTCCTCATGGAATTAGTACTTTAACAAAATTCGTTGAAAAGAGATCCCTTCCCTGAATTTGGTGTTTTGAATTTTTAATGTTTAAGTGAGACTTATCTGTAAATTTTTATTTCATTAAAATATCAGAGTTTTTACAAATAAATCAATTTAATAATTGAATTCATCAGTCGATTAAAATTAGACTATTATGGAAAACTTGAATGTACTGGACGGATGTTTCGTCTTAGTGTAAGACTCTTCAACAATGTACATCCACGATTCTGCCAATAGATTCCTTTGAATGAAAATATGAAAATTTGTAGGTTGATTACAAGAACGATTCATTTGTGTTTTACTCAGAATTGCTTGCCATACACTTGAAGCATAATTTGATGTCAGATGGTTATATATAATAGGCAGGTAACTTTGAACCTTAGTTTCGATATAGTTGATTCTTGTTAGCAAAGATTTTCTGTAATCTTGATGGAACTGATAATTCTAGTGTTACAATGTATCATGGAGTGAGTACTACTGAACCATTCAGTTTCCGTAAAATCTGTAATTCGACTATAGAATGATTATTTTACGTGTGTTAAAACATTTACAGAATACCGAATGGTTTAAAGCTAATTCGTTTATAACTTAAGCGTATGTCAATATTTCATAAGGCGTAGAAAAAAGAAAACCATAGTACGAAAAAATTATATCACTATGTATATCTAAAAGAGACTAATTCAATGACAACTCATTGAACTAACCACTTTACTGGATGTTTCCTATTAGACATTGTTTATTTTATCAATATTTATCAATTGTGTAGAAAGAAAGATCTAAAATAAGAATGAAACTATCACATGATTTCACTTGGTGTTGTTTACTTGTATCTTCCCATTGTAGTTTAGAACTGCAATGGATTAGTCTCTTATTGGCGTATATATGCATAGTGTGTGTATGTCTTGATATTGCCTTAATTCACAAGCCTTATAAGCAAAGATGCATAGTATCTAGTAGTGGAATCCAGTTTGACGCGTGTTTCGTCCTATTCGGAACTTGTCAGGAAAAAATATGCATCGCAGATTCCACTTCTAGTCATTATCTATTTTTCATTAAAGGATACTAATTTGGAAATAAACAATTACAGAATAGAATTATTTAATTCAATGTTAGTTGAATGTATATTACAATAATCAAACAAAAATACAACTCTTTTCTCTCTTTTTACTTTAAACTAATCACTATAACTTCATTGAATCATATGTAATTCATTATTCTAATTATGGTTGAATAAATAAACGTATTATAATTCAATGATTTATATCAGTCATTATAATGTGTATATATTCAATGTTAATATTACTTACTTACTTGCTTACTTACTCCTGTTACTCTTTCTAGTTGTTATTCATCATATTTATATCTGAATAAGTAACATTGATGAGCTTTATTATTGGGGGAAAAAAAAAACAAACATTCTTGAATATTTTATATTATTGATGAAATGTAATATGTTTGTTCATAGGGAAATCATGCATGTTAATTAGTGAATAAATAAATATATATAGATGCTATGCAAATAACTGACAGCTATTTGGAAGTGAACAATGTTTTTATTTTATGATGTAATGAAATACAAATATGTAGATAATGATCTTGATGAAAGGTTAGTAAAGATTTGTAAATTAATGAGATGATTTTGATTTGATCAGATCAGTTCTATTGTCTTTATGGATAAGACTGTCTAAAACAAAACAAAAAAAACAAAACAAATTGCACAAACTAGTAACTATTTGGACTTAGTAGCTAAGTAGATAACGTGTTGATGTTTAAAGTGAAAAGTTATGGGCTTGAGTTGTGGAGTGAACATCAACTCTAGGATATAGGTACATCCAATTGACCAATTCCAAATAGGATGAAATATGTGTCCTGGATTCCACTGCTAATGACCATCCATCTTTGTTTACAGATTAAGATTGTTCATAATTATCAAAATTAGGAATTGTGGAGATTGTAATAATTTAATATTTGAATTCACGAGTCAATTTAAGCTAGTCCGTTGGTAACATTTACACATTTAACTAAGAGACTTTGACTAGCAGTAACATACTATACCATATAAAGTGAAATGGTGAATAGTCGTTCTTCAAGAAAAGTGAAAGTAACACAGTCAGATATTTCATATTTTCCATTGGGATTTGACATTAATTCCTTAAAGTTCGACTTTACTATAGGAAAATCGGAATAGCATATAAAAGCGAACAATTTTGTATCCAACTAGGTCCTTATAAGAAATTAATCGAAAACATTATTCACTTATATCTATTGCTCTAATTCACAAAAATGAAAATTCTCAGTATAAGGAAATCGATTTTGAAAATGATGTTTTTACGATAGTAGGGTGAGATTATAATTTATGGACGACCTTTGAGCGAAACTAGACTGACGGTGAGAGTGTCTACTTACTTACTAGGATCAAATGAGGGTTATAAAGCAGTCTAAAGAATAAGGATTATGATTTACAGTCGATGGTTAAGGTTAGGAATTAGATTTCGGGTTTTCATCACGAACTGACATAAGCTATTATGCCAAAACTCTATTTATCCAAATGGATGAGTGAATTTCACGCGAAAATCTGAGACCTGTTATCTTATACGTGATTGGTTCATCCAGAAATTATAGTCTCGCCGATATTAGATATTTTCTATATATATATCCTCAGAGATTCCTACATGATAAACTTAGCAGATTATTATAAAATCATGAAACTAGTTTATAAGAATAACGAGAAATTTGTTGGCATCTGGGCTTTGTAAATACTTTAATCCAATTAATGATAACTATTTTAAGAATGGTTTGAATTATTTTTTCCAGTTAGCGTTTGTTTAGCGAGTTATTTTTCTACAGAATGGAGTCGCTAACCCCATGCTTAACCCTCCTCCTTTTTTCCGGGCCTGAGACCGGCAGTAGCCTCAGAGGGGCTCCAGGCGGAGTCGTGAAACCTTTACATATCTGGCCCGCATCACTGATGAACACAGTGGATCTGATGCATATGAGTAGGCGCGGATCGGCTAAGCAGGAGCAGCATATTTACAATTGTAGAACATCTGGAACTCAAAACAACTGTCAATCAACACCAAGGTCAGAATTTTTAATATAAATGTAAGGACTGTTTTACTGTATGGGGTGGAAACTTGAAGAAACATGAAATCGATCATCCAAA